CGAGATTGTTGACGACAGGGAAGCAGGGGCTCACTGAGTTTAAATAGGATTAATAGTCCCTCCCACAATTACAGGCCAAGCCTTCCACATATATATATATACACATACCAGTTGTGGTGGGGAAAAAAGTGTGGATGAAAACCCCTTCCACCTGAAGTAAGTGGATAGTTAACACATTGCTAAACACAAATACACACACCAGTCAAGCCATAAGACTTGCTTTTCCCACAGAAATCTCACTTTAACAGTGCTCTCATTACTGCCAGGGATTCTGGGTAGGCGTATGCAAATGAGCTCAACAAAAAAACACATTTTTGACTCATAATTCCACTTTATACATGGATTCCTTGGAGTATGTGTCTGCTGTATACAACAGCTTTGAAACGCAACTCAGGAAGAGGAGCAAAGCCAGTGAACCACTCATGGACTGTTTCGTTGGTTAGTGGCTTGCAATGGAGGCTTGGCGTTAATTGTAAAGTACATACCAACAGAGCTGTGGTGGGGAAAAAAGTGTGGATGAAAAATGTGGTTCTTTGTTGAGCTCATTTGCATATGCCTACCCAGAATCACTTGCAGTAGTGAGAGCACTGTTAAAGTGAGATTTCTGTGGGAAAAGCAAGTCTTATGGCTTGACTGGTGTGTGTATTTGTGTTTAGCAATATATTACCTATATATATATATATATATATGTATTCCAAAAAAGGGCACTTGTAAATAATTCTTCTTCTTGTGATGCTGTGATATACACCAATATGTCTAAGTTTCATGTCTTTAAGACAAATACAACCAGCAAAATCACAATTTAACCCCTTAAGACCGGAGGGCGTACAATTACACCCTATTTTAGGCGGCTCTAAACACCGCCGGGCGTAATTGTACGCCCTCCGGTCTTTCCTTACTTACCCGGTCGCCGGCGGTCCCACGCCGGTGATCGCGGTGGGGGGGACTCCCAGGGAGCCCACCCGCGGTAGATCCTCCTCCTCCGGTGCCCCCTGGCCATGTGAGAGTGAGGTCCTTGCGAGGACCCCACAATTACATGGCTGGGGGTAGCTGCCTCCTGCATTGCCAGCAGGGGGACTGCCTGTAATTACAGGTGGTCCCCCTGCTGGCTGAAAATAAAATTAAAATAAATTAATGAAAACGTAAAGTGTAAAAAAAAAATATATATACTAAGTATATATATACACATATACATACACA